AGAGCCAAAGAATTCTCAAGAACCAACAGCAGAAACAGGAGTTTAGCAGGGAACTTAGGGAAGAGTGGATGCAATCTGGAAGGAGTGGGCAAGCTCACACAGGGCTGGGACTGAGGAGGACCCACTGGGGACTGCTAAGATGGCGGCTTTAACGTGTCTGGCTGCTGTGGGCATAGGCTAAGGCCAGGCCCTGAGTGGACACGAGTCTCCTGTGCTGGGAAGTAGGCAGTGTGGGAGAGTCCAGGAGCATTTTTTAAGATAGGTGAGGATGAACACCTTAGAGATAACCTACTTTCATGGGTCAGAGATACAGAAAATGCCTTGAGCTTGACACTGAGCTAAAGATCTCTTCCTTCTTCCTCCCCTCTTCCCGCCCTGTTCTCTCCTCTATTTTAAAGCTTGAGGTGAATTTAAAAGAAATCAGTAAAGGATGAAATGAGTACCCTGGGCAGTGGTGGTGCATGCCTTTAATCCCAGCACTCAGGAGGCACCGGCAGGGATCTCTGTGAGTTCAAAGCCAACCTGCTCTACAGAGTGAGTTCCAAGACAGCCAGGGCTACACAAAGAAACACCGTCTCAAAACAAACAAAAATTCAAATGGGTTATTTCAATATTGGCAGCCAAAACCTTTAAGTGGCTAATTCTAAACTCTTAATAACATTGTACAATTCCCAACTTAACCAACAGCCTTATCTTTCAGCACCCTGGACAGCGACACGACTCTAGCTTTTCTTCCATCTCCACCCTTGACACACACACACTATCTGAATGGTTGACTTCTTGCTTTTCCTGTAGTCACGGTTGCACGTCAGACTTTTATCCTCATCTATCTGGACTTAAACTCATCTACCTTACAATCCTCATGACTTCTGAAGCTTTTTACAAGTATTATCATGTATACAATCATGTATGTCACTTACAATGTAAAATTGGCTGTGGAAAAAGTGCTTGCTGCGGGAGCATGAAGATCTGAATTCAGATCCTCACACTAAAAGTCCAGTGTACATTTATAATCCCAGAACTGGGAAGGAGGAAACAAGAAAGCCTGGTTCCTCAGAGGTCCTCATGCAGCAGCAATTTGTTACAGGTCCTTACTGGCCACAGGCAAGTGATCTGACCAATCTGAGCCTTAGCTTCCTCATCCCAGCACTGAAGCCTTCTACTTCTTTGGGAGCATTGTGGTGAGCATGGTGATGTGCCAGGAGTAATTAGTAGACAGACATTGATACACCTGACTTTGACATCTTGTCCTGGGCACATGACATAGAATAAAGCACCTGATCACGGCGTCTCAGAGTAGAGCAAACCATGGGGACGAGAAGACACAGAGTTCTGACCTCTTAGTAAGTGACCAGGGAGGTACAGGTGACACAGTGGTCACCCAGCCCAGCCAAACTAGTAAACCCCAGGTTCAGTCAGAGACCCTTTGGTAAAAAATGAGGTGAAGAACAAGAAAGTATCTAACACATGCACACACACACACATGCACACACACATGAACACACACACACATACACCCCAAACAAATAAAATAATCTCTGAAGAATGGTCTCTTACTCCTCCTCCTTTGAGACAGGTTTTTATGTAGCCTAGGCCTTTCTCAAACTTGTTGTGAAGCCAAGGATGATCTTGAACTTTTGATCCTTCTGCCTCTGCTCCTGAGTGCTTGGACAGTACCAGCAATCCAGCTTAGCTCTCTCCCCAGCCTATCTGCCCAGCAGTGAGGTACACCTGCAGATCTTGTCTTCAAGGGCGGCTGGATCTGACCAGCTCTCAGCTCTGCCAGCACCAGCTTCTGCCCCCCTTTTCCACACAAATTGCCATTGAGCCCCATGAGGGATGCCCCATGCTCCATTGGGAAGCACTGGGCCCTGTCACATCTTCAAGTTTAGGCTCATGCTGGTCTCCCTTCTTGAGACTTTATTCTCCATCTAGTAAGTTTTGTAGACTCAGCTCAAATGCCACCTTTTCCATAGAGCCTTTCACTGACACCTCAAGTCCCATCACAGCACAAGTCCTCCCTTACTCCAATCTCTGAGTGACAGCAGGTCCCACAAGCTGGGGATCATTGGTACACACATAAATCAGATCCACCATTACCTATACACTACAGGCAGGAAGGAACTCTACAAATGACCATCTTCACACGGGGCACTTAAGTGCCCCTGTTAGAGGAATCACCAAGTCATGGATAAATTTAAATTTCACACAGCCAAAGTAATTTTCTAAAATGAATTTTTAGAAAAGATTTATTTTTGTTTTAGGTGTGTGAGTGTTTTGCCTGCATGTACGTGCACCATGTGCACTTCTGATCAGAAAAGGGTATTGAATCCCTCGGGCCTGGAGTTTCAAATAGTTTTGAGTCATCGTGTGCATGCTTGGAACTGAAGTCAGGTCTTCTGCAAGAGTTACAAGTGCTCTCAACTGCTGAGCCATGTCTTCAGCACCCAACCAAAGCTATTTTCAACACTTACCATCATGCAACTAAATGAACAGATTAAAAATCCACAAATGACCTTGTAAAGCATGATGGCTCCCCAGTCACTTACTAAGAGGACAGAACTCTGTGTCTTCTCGTCCCCATGGTTTGCTCTACTCTGAGACGCCGTGATCACCTGCTTTATTCTATGTCATGTGCCCAGCACAAGATGTCAAAGTCACGTGGATCGATGTCTGTCTACTAATTACTCCTGGCACGTCACCATGTTCACCACAATGCTCCCAAGGAAGTAGAAGGCTTCAGTGCTGGGATGAGGAAGCTAAGGCTCAGATTGGTCAGATCACTTACCTGTGACCAGTAAGGACCTGTAACAAATTGCTGCTGCATGAGGACCTCTGAGGAACCAGGCTTTCTAATGTTACCCTTATGTGCCTTGTGTGCCTCGCACACTAACTCAGAGCTTGGCCAGATGGGTATCAGCAAGCTTCATGCAAGCAGAAGCCACTAAGTAGTTGTCCATCAGGACTTGTCATCTTGGAACATTTCCCCCTTAGGGAGCCTTGTGACCCAGAGGCTGGGTCCCAGCTGTGTAGGATGACCTGAGGCTACAGTGGGAAGGTGGCCCGGGCGGGGGGGGGGCTGAGAGGTCTCCTTTGAGAGGCTGTGTATGTGATTCCAAGTGAGATCCACAGATCCCATAGCCATAGTCCCAGGGAGCTCAGACCATGAGACATAGTGTCATCACTAGTGGTTGATACACGCCTGAAGTCCTAGCAAACTGGGAGACAGGAAGACTGCAAGTTTAAGGCCAGTGGTAGATCATATGACTAGTATGTATAAGGTCCTGAGTTCAATTCTCGGCACTGAAATAAGCAAGCGAACAAGCAAATGCCATCCAGCGTTTCTAAATTCTATGGGCGTTTGTAATACAGTAGTAAATAAATAAAACCCTTGACAAACTGGGATTTGAACACAACACTTCCTGATCAACTCATATTCGATGCTACATTACTTCTGGCTGAGAGCGGGGTGTCTGTACCAATCCTGAAGTGTTCATAGAGAAAGGCCCCGTAGTAGCACTAAGGGAATATCTGTTGACGACACAAAGCATTATCAGAGGAAGTTCTAGGGAACTCAGAGGCAAGGAAACTACTACATTTTGACAACCTTCACCACCTCTTTACCCTCCCTGAAAGCTAGGTCTCCTCAATGTAGGAATAAATGTGTGTATGTCACAGATCTCTGTCCCCTGTCCCACCAGTTAAATTCAGATCAGGCAAAAGTGAAGGCTAGCAGAGTTTTTGTGATTTCCCTTTCTGGCTCCCAACTTGCTGCCTGACCTACCCACGGTTATCGTCTCTCTCTCCCCCTCCCACTTGGCCTTCGGGGGCCCAGGAGCTCTTCCCTCCTCCTTCCCATGTAAAATCCAGGAAGGAAGCAGAGAAGGCGGAAATCAGACAACAGAGTGGAGAAGGTTTGGGTGGTGTTAGATGGATTTAGAAGCCCCAACACCAAGCTCTAAACTAGGTGTTTACAGGAGGCCTCCACCAGCAGGTGGAGGCATTCTGAGGCTGAAGAGGCAACTGGAGGTGTCCACGTTATACCCCCATTATGGCCCAGTGGGTGGAGAATAAAGGAATGCCTTGCCTGTCTAAACCCCTGCCCAATCCTCCAAGAAGCCTGGGCCTGAGCCCTTCAGCTATATAACCCAAACTTGGTACCTCCAGAATAGTCACCCAGCCTGGTAAAAACCCACAGGAGCCATCGCAGTCTTCTGCTTCCTGGCCACCCCCCACACACTGCCTTTCTGTTCTAAGCACCCCCTCTCGTGGTCCTGCAAACATGCACACGCCTCCCAAGGTCACACACACGCAGGCTCCAGCACCTGGATCCCACACCCGGAAAACCATCTGAGCCCCTCACCGCAGGCTAAACCAAAGGGAGGGGGGCAGGCCTCACTCTTCTCTAGGCAGACTGTAGGCAGCGTACACAGGCACAGTATCACACACACATGCAAGGCGATGGAGTGGAGCCCACACCTCCAGAGACATTGTGGGAAACAGTCACCGCCAAGGCACTGAGGTGTGGGGAGGCAGAAACATGTGTGCACATATATGAACGATCACACGTGCACACCGGCACGCACCTACAACCGCACAGGTGCCCAGCCAGGCCTACCAAGACCCTCCCCCATTCCATCACCAGCAGGTGGAGAGAGCTGGGGTTTCAGGGCACTCCCCCTTCTCCCTCTCCAAGGTCCAGAGTCCCAGTGGGTTTTTTTCTGGAGCCCGCCCCCGCCCCCCAACAAGGCTCAGGCAGTGACAGGCGGGAGGGGGGAGGGGAAGCCTGGTCCCAAACCCGTTCTGATTTTAATTCCTTAAATTAACCCCTTGGATGCCTGGAAGCCTGGCCTGCCCAGAATCTCTCCCAGTTCTAGCGGCCTCGCGGCCTCGGGAGGGCAACAGGGAAGAAGGCAGGGGAGGAGGGGGCAGCGGCTGAGGTCTTCCCTGCCTAGCCTCTCCAGGACCAGTCCCGCAGCACGCTCCAGACTTGCCTTTACCTCTTCCAGCCTGTGGCGAGACCAGGCACCGCGGCCCTGGGCTTGGGGCGCAGAGGCACAGACCCCGCGTGCCCGGTCCAGACGCAGGGCCGCCGCCAGGCCTTAGCTCTTGGTCCCCACTGCAGCCTAGGGTGGCCGCCGCCGCCTCCTGGTTGGGGCGGGGGCGGCCGAATCCCCCAGCCCCGCACAGCGGGAGGGGCTCGCGATGCGATCACGGGCGGGGTACGCAGGGCGGAGGAGGGGGAGATAGGAGGGGGCGCGCGGCCCCGGCGCAGCTAGGAGAGAGGGAGGGAGGCGGCCCGGAGATGGGGCGGAGCCGGCCCCTCCTCCGGGGCGGGCTCTCCAGCAAGAGGGGAGCGGCAGTTGCAGCCAGGAGTGGCTGCGCCTGGTCCCCACGTTTTCCGCAGAAGCTGGTGGCTTGGGTGGAGGATGGGCACTACGGGGGTGGGGATGCAACCTTCCTCCACACCAGGCACCACCACCGAGGCATTCCTGTGCCTTGGAGCTTCCAGCTGTGTCCACTGCTGCCCACCTTTAATCAGGGCCTTTCCACCCTAACCCACCCCTCACACTTGGCCTGCACCCAGTGAGGAGCAGATCTTGGGATGAGTGGTTCTGGAGACCAAAACGAGGCTGACATGGACACTATGACATACATCACAGTTCTACAGGGTCCTCTTGGGCTGCGAGCCCAAGTACAGGTCTTGCACTCTGTGACTTCAGGTCAGACACGTTGTCTTTGGGGAAGACTTGGCTGCATTGGGCCACACTGTGCCATGTTCCTGGACCTAATATTGTTTCTGGACCTACAAATGGAAAGGAGCAGCGACCGTGCGTTGGTTTGCTCCAAATAAACCCATCATTTCCACAGGATAGCACCTCTTGGCTTCAGGCCTACCTATCTGCTGAGGTAGGCACAGCCTGGCTGTCTTGCGCAGGAGGAAGTTCACAGGGCTGGAGTTGAGCTGGCAAAACAAAACAAAACAAAACAACAACCCGTTGGGGTTTCAAAACAAGATCATGGCTGAACTAGAATGAGGAAAAGGGAAATGATACTTGGACCACGCAGCGGTGCCTCGGCTGCAGCCGGGGCCTGTGGCAGAGCAGAAATCCAGCCAGGATAGTCCCAGGACTCCCCTGGAGAGTTTGTGTGGCTTCCACTGACCCCATCCCACACATGAAAGGACAGAAGCCCCAGGGACATGGAGTGTGGGGAAGGAATCTCTAGAATGGACAGGCAGTTTGGAGTATGGGGAAGGACTCTCTAGACTAGACAGGCAGTTTAGGGGGAACAATACATCTAACAAAAACCAGAGAGTATACAGAGGCCAAGCCAATGAAGCACTCCCTCTGTTTCTTCCTGAATCTCTGAAGCCTTTCCAGCTCCAGGAAGTCTTCTTAGATTAAGAAGGGAGATCACTTCTTCTAAGATTTAACTAAATCCCTGTCAGTTAAGCAGCAGGCATCCTGATGGTGCTTTATTACATATCATTCATTTTCCAACAGAGTAACAGAGCAGAAGCTCTGTCAGCCTCTCTCAGAGGGTTTGTAATCACCTATGGTGTGTCTTAAAGGGAGTTGAGAGAGAGGTTTGAATGAGAAGACCCACCCTCGTGGGCAGCACCGTCCCATGCACCGAGGTCCCAAACTGATACCAAGGTGTAGCAAGCATTGGTGTTTGCTTCATGACTGGGGACACAGTGTGACCAGCTGCCATGCCTCCCTGGACATGCTAGGCTGTGTGCCATCAAACAGTGAGCTCAAGTAAGCCCTTCCTGCCTTAGGTTGCTTGTGTCAAGATTTTTTTTTTTTTTTTTTTTTTTTTTTTGGTCACAGAAGTGAGAAAATACACCCGCTTCAGGAGATGGAGAAGCTAAAGTTCAAAGTTCAACAAATATCAAGACCACAATTTGAATGCCTGGTATTCAATCCATCCTATGACCAAAACACAGCATCGGCACGCCACCTCTTTGCTACAGTAAAGTTCCCAAGCCTGTGCCTCTCGAAACGCAGACTTGATAAATCCACCTGTTTCTGTAGTTAGCCAAAAGTATCTCTTTATCATCTCGGCCCCACCTTTGTTGTGATATTGCCCTTTGTGCTTGTTGTGCTTATATGAAAACAATTTAGGACATGGAGTGTGCTGTGTATGTGCTTTTGTACATGTGCATACATGCATTTGAATGGATATGGAGGCATACATGTGTGGCTATGCAGGTATATATAGATGCATGTGTTTATTTGTGAGTGCATGTGTGCATGGTTGTGTATGCATGTGGATGTATATGTGAGGGTGTGTGTGCTATCCTTATGCACATAGGTATTCCCACACACATATATGTATGTGCATATGCATGAATGCATGTGCGCATGTGTGACCATGCTATATTTCACAGACAACAGTTCCTGCTTGGTTGTTATGGGAACCACTGTTCTAAAAATGTAAATCCCACTCCATGTGGTCCAGAGAAACCAAAAGAGATAGTGCTCAGTGACAAACACATCTAGGGCTCCCAAGGCTAAGGCAGGAAATCATGAATTAAGAATCAGCCGGGACCCAGGTAATCAGAGGTATAGTCCTATTCTCAGGATCCCACTGTCGTGTCGGGGCCTCCATCCTGCCTTTTCTTATCTCTCCTCTCCCAGCTCCATGCTCGCTGGCCACCTTCTTTCTCTCCTTCTCTTGTGAGCTAGTCAGAACAGTGATTAAATCCTTATTCTTGCTGAGATGAACCCACAAGTATGGATGAAACAAGGTTTCCACCCTGGAGGGGGCTCAGAGGTGGGGCTGTTCTGTTGTTAGATCTAAGGGGAAGATAGAGAGATGGGGGTGGTGGGAAGACAAAGTTAGATTGGACATGGGAGGCTTTAACCGTGCAGTATGTGGTTGGTTTCTTTTTAAGATTTTATTTTTAGTTATATGTATGTTTGTGTGTCTGAGCACAGTGTGTGTGTGTGTGTGTGTGTGTGTGCGCGTGTGCGTGTACGTGTGCGTGTTTGTGTGTGTGTGTGTGTGCACGCCACAGTGGCCAGAAGGGAGCATGATCTGGAGCTGGAGTTACAGGAGGTTATGGGCTGCCATGTGTGTTCTAGGAACTGCACTCAGGTCCTGTCCAACCAAGTGCTCTTGGTTTACTGAGCCTTCGCTCCAGTCTTTATGTACATGATTTTGTTTTGTTTGTGAGGTAAGAGCTCTCTGTGTAGCCCTAGCCTGGCTGTCCTGGAACTTACTATGTAGACCAGGCTGACTTCAAAGTCACAGAGATCCACTCTGCCTTCTGAGTGCTAAGATTAGAGGCAGGTGCCATCATGCCCCAAGTGTGTATGTTTTAAAAATATTTATTTAGTATGTATACATATATATGAATATGGGATCATGTGTGCCATGCTTTGTGTGTGGCAGTCAGAGGGAAACTTTTCTTTCATTTTTTTAAAGGCAGAATCATCTTGATCTATCTGCAGCTGCCTTCCATACTTCAAGCTAGCTGGCTGTGAACTTCCATGTGATTCTCCTGTGCTTTTCTTGTGTCCACCTCCTCCTACCTTATGAGAGGAATGTTGGGATTACAGGTTCATGCCACTACATCTGGCTTTTTAAGTAGGTGTGGGGCAATAAACTCCAGTCATTAGGCTTGTATGGATATTAGCACTTTTACCTCCAGAGCCGTCTCCCTGGCCCAGATATAAGTATTTTAGTACAAAGCTAGGTGTCCTGGGTCAATTTGGGACACTATTATGTCATGAATAGTGTTTTATGGGGTTTCTATCATTAGTGCTGTGTGATGGAATGGAAGGATATGAGTCAGGAAAGAGTTGGGTAGTTTAAACTGGTTATACTGGTCTCATTTCAAACGGAACGGGGGTTGGTTGGTGTGAAAGGAAAAGATAGAGCAAATGTTCTAGGCTGCTTTGTCCAAGGCTTCCAGAGTTTATCTCATCAAAATTCTTATTTCTGGGTTTGAGGATGTAGCTCAGTGGGTAGAGGGCATGCATAACATGCAAGAGGCCCTGGGCTGGGTCCACAGTCCCAGACAGACAGACAGACAGATAGACACAAAATTTTATGAAGGGAATGGAATTTAAAAAGACAAAAAAATGTCAGCACAAAAGCATGAAGTATGTTGAGTTCAGCCCCTGAAAGGCCTGGGGTGGAAGTCAACTAGCCTGTAAGTTCTTTGGAGAAGGAGGAGCTACCACTGAAAAATCATAACTACTTATACCTGTATAGAGCAGAAACTCCAAGAAAGGAACCATCAAAAGATCCAGCTGGGTGTGGCATGCCTGTAATAGCAGCACAGTAGGGGCAGAGACTGCTATACAGTGAGCTTGAGGAGAGCCTGGGCTACATGACTCCACTCAGGAAAACAACCAACAAAAGTCTCTTCACCACTGGCTCATCCTCTTAGAGTGCCAGGTAAGGGAAAGATACCCTTAACCTGGGCCACAGAGCCCTGCTGCCCAGGTTAATCCCCAATGCCAGATGAGTTTACAAGCGAAAAACAATAACTCATAAAACAATGGATCACAAAGGAGAATGAACAAGATGCCAAAGCATGGCAGACTTCTCAGTGGTTAAAGGCACTGGCTGCTCTTCCAAAGGTCTCCTGTTCAATTCTCAGAATCCACATGGCAGCTCACAACTGTCCATAACTCCAGTTCCAGGGGATGTGACACCCTCATTCATGCAGGCAAGACACCAATGCACATAGTATAAAAATACATTATTTTTAAAAACAAAATAAATAATATTTAAAATCATGAAACAAACCCTAAAACAATACAAATCAAGCCAAAACAAAAATGAACTGACATACCTTGATGCTTTTTGGGTTTTCTGATTGACTTTAATTTTCTCCATCTCTGGCCTAACATTCTCTTCTTTTAAAGCTCCTGGGGAATCTCCACTAAATGGGGACAAAGAAGACTTCTTGGCCAGTCACCAGGATTACTACAAAGTCACTTCCCTAGAGTTCCCTTTTCTTGTCATGCTAAACTTAATAGTAGGGTATGAGGACAAACTAGGAAAGGACAGAGAAGACTATAGTGACAGAACAAAGCAGAAGCAGGCAAGGACATTCTGGTTCAGAGACTAGCCACCAACAGCCTGCCTATGTGACCTCTTTTGTTCAGGTGGTGTGGTTTGGTGCTGCTTAAGGTATGAGCCTTTTCTGTCCTGCTGCTCCAAAGCTGCAGGATCTTCATGACACAGAAGCCAGAGACCTGGAACCTGGACAATGACTCATTGCAATGAGCATTTGCAAGAGATTATGTGTGGGCAGAGGGATACACTGTGGGACACACTATGATACACTACAGCTTCCACGATGTTTTCTAAGCTTTGTTTAGCTTTTGTTTGTTGTGTGTTTTGTATTTTTTTGGGGGGGAGGTAGCAAAGGCAGAGAGTGGATACAAGGGAATGGAGAGATGAACACAACTGGGGTACATGATGTGATACTCACAAAGAACCAATAAAAAGTTAAGAAGAAGAAGAGGAGGAGGAAGAGGAGGAGGAGGAAGAGGAGGAAGAAGAGGAGGAAGAAGAAGAGGAGGACTTGGGCCTTTACGCTCTTCCTTGACTACTCTGTATAGAAATGAAGTCTGAGGTCCATGCCTATGAATGAAGGTACAGTCAGTATGATAATGAGGTTCACCTTTTAACTTAGGTCTCCTGAATCTACCACTTACCTCTCAGTGTCTGGCAATCCACCACTTGAGCTCCAAAGGGTTAAATGTTGCCCTCCACAGGTCATACTTTTGAAATACCAATTCTTTTGGAAGAGACAGCATCAATTTGTCACAATTCATTTATTAGTCCTCAGTCCTGAGAGGGTACTTAATACCTAGGGAAAGAAAAGGCTACAAGTGTGGGACTGGGTCATTTTGTCCCTAGTCAGCTGTTGTGGTTGCATCTGGGTGACAAAAAATTTCCTGGGGTGACAAATCACATGCATCTACTTGTCCCAGGTAGCAAACCCATGACAGACTGAAGTATAGATACCACCAAAGTCCAACTTGGTGAATCAATGAGTTTTATTGAGGTTACTTACAGAAGCAGAAATGACTCAAAGATACCTGCATCACCAAGGCCCACCACAGCATAGGTGACGAGGTTCTAAGAGACCATATCAGAATAAAGAAAGAAAGAAAGAAAGAAAGAGAAAAACTACAGTGGACAGGGATTGGGGAGATGGCCTGGTGGTTAAGAACACTTGTTACTCTGGCAGAGGACTGAGGTTGGATTCCCATAACCCACAGTGTCTCAGGGCCATCTGGAATTCCAGTCCCAAGGATCTGACACTCTTCTGACTTCTGTGGGCACCAAATACACATGCATACATTCGGGCAAAACATTCATGCATTCAAAGTAACTAAAACGAAAAAACATACAGTGAAGTGTGACGTAGGTCCTCTGCAAAGGTGTGCACTTGCAAACGCACATGCACATACATGTACACGCATAGAAACAACCCAAATCCCTAGTAGGTGGCTACTGAAGAACATTACATCAAGTTGACCTCTAAACACTCTCCCTCCCCCTCGAGGTCAGCTGAGTTGGCCTACCCTTGCTTTAGCATAGAGCTGTCATTCAGGAGGTGCAACGGTTGATCTTTTATACAGCCCAAGGTGGAAAAAACTTTGAGGAGCAAAACAAGAGACTAAAGAGGATGTCTCACCTTCCCTATTACAGGATCATGGTTTCTCGTGCCTGTCTACACCCCATAAACGGTTAATGGGAAGTAAAGTTTTGGAAAGGGTTTTGACCAAGTTGGGCTGTTTAGTAGGGCTGTTATCTCCTGGAGAGGCTCTTTCAGGAGCCTCTGGCTTGTTCTTCACAGCCCAAGGCCTGGCCCAGTTGAACGCAAAGACCCTTTCGGTCTTTACAGCATGTGATTCTTGAACAGATGTATCTGTGGTAGCAAATATTAACAGAGTAGTCACATTCCACTAAAATGCAGCAGCATCTGCTGCCCAGGGCGCCCTCTAGTGCCAAATCTTTCCTGTCTTTTCCAAAGACTCATCCTTCCTTCCATTCCGCGGCTGGAAAGCAAGCTACTACTGCCTTGCTTTCCAGTTAACGTTAACTGACCCTGGTTGTTTCTAGTAGGATCACACAGTAAGCAATTTACACTGACTGCTTCCTGTTTTGGAAATAGTACTAGAGACTGAAGCCTAGAGGACATCATGCTATTACTACCTTTCTTTGCCTTCCACTTTTGGTTCCAGAAACATTGCTAACCCTTAAGTCAGTGGTGAAGAAGTACATCAATTTATTCTCTTATATTTATGAAATGCCTAATATGTGTCATGGTGCTTGTCAGAGGCCTGCATCTCACCAATGTATTTCCTGTCTCCTGGCATATATATACTGTCCTGGGAGAGAAGTTAGGGGGATCAGGGTTAGAAGTTTTTACAAGGCAGATTCGGTAAGCTTTTAGCACAATAATTTTAATTGCAAAAATAAACAGTTTTGTCAAATGCTTGAGAGTAGCGTCTGCTTTACAAAAAATGAACAACAACAAAAAGGAAATAACCCCAAAGCAAAACATCACATTCAAAGGCTTGCTGGACTTGCTATACAAAGTTCTTGAGAGACCGGCTCGTACATCCCCAGCTTGTCACTGGGGAGGGATAAAGAGGAAGGCGTGGGGCGTACGCCAGTTACAAAAAACCTCTCTTCAGCCCCAAGGAAGTGGCTGCTCTGTGGGGTGGACCGAGAGGACTGTCCCCGTAGTGGCTGGCTGGAGGAAGGCGGCTCCGAGACAGCGGGCGCTGTCCGCGGAACCCGTGCTGAAGGGCGTGAGCGGCGGGCGCTTCGGGGGAACTGGGAGCTGGACTGTGGGTGGCCCCGGACGTGCGTGGAAGAGGCAGGGAGGGGCAGCGGGGACGAAGGACCGGCCGGACCGTGGCGCGTGCGCCGAGGGCCGGCGTCCTCGACCTACGGGGCCAGGTCTGGCTAAAGCGCGGCGAAGGAGAGGCCCAGCGAGTAGAAGCCCAGGCCCTTGAGACGCTCCTCCGCGCGCGCCTTCTGCTTCAGGTGTACCTTGCTGTGCCGTTTCTTCTCGTCGCTGCGCGCGAAGCGGCGGCCGCACACGTCGCAGGCGAAGGGCTTCTCGCCCGTGTGGGTGCGCACGTGTGTGGTGAGGTGGTCGCTGCGGCTGAAGTTGCGCAGGCAGATGCGGCACTGGAAGGGCTTGTGGCCCGTGTGGATGCGCAGGTGGCGGTTGAGCTCGTCGGAGCGCGCGAAGCTCCGCACGCAGCTCTCCACGGGGCAGGCGAAGGCCTTGACGTGCGGCCGCGGGCAGAAGCAGCGCGCGCTGCACTTGCCGCCCCGGCGTCCCTTGCGCCGGGCTTTGGCCGCGGGGAAGGAGGCGGCGGGAGATGCGGGCGCGGCCACGCCGCTGCCCCCCGGGAGGTCGGCCACCAGGGGTTTGGAGAAGTCCGCCGTGGCGGCGCCGCGCAGGCCCAGAGGGGAGAGCTGCGCTTGAGGGGCGGCCAGGAACTCTCCGCCTTCGCCGCCGCTCCCACCCTCCCCGCCCGGAGGGGTCAGCAGCGCCGGGAGGCCCTCGGTCCCCTCCCCTAAGTCACCTGGGGCCAGCGAGAAGGCGTCGTAGGCCCCTGCCGGGTAGAGTCTGCTAGCGGGGCCGGGCAGCTCGGCGGGGCAGCTGATGGAGAGCAGGTCCTCGACCTTGGTCCCTACCGCGGAAAAGCGGGCCTCCGGGGTGGTCTGGAAGCTTCCCTGCGACCCACAGTTCCCCGGGGTCCCGGCCGACAGCAGCTCCCAGGGGGCGTAGGGCCCTTTGAAGGCCGAAGCAACAGCGTCCAGCGCTGGCGAAGCGGGAGGCGCCCTCAGCCCGGGCTTGACGTCGGGCGGGGAGAGCTGGGGCTCGAACAGGCACTGCGAGGGAGCGCCCGCCGAAGGCGCGGCCTCCCAAAACGCCTCCGGGAAGGCGGCCGAACTCAGATCCGGGGAGTAAAGGTCCGGCAGCAAGGCATCGGGGCCCGTGGGGAAAGGGACATCCAGGGGGGACCGAGACGCTGCCGCCTCGGGGCTGGGGAAAGGTGCCAGGCCCAAGATGCCAGACATGAGGTTGAAGAGGGCCTCCGGGTCGTGCGGGTGTTCGGGAACCGCCTGGATGAAGAAGCTGCCGCTGTAGCTGAGGCCCGAAGGGGGCGTGGGTGCAGGGCCCTCCAGGAAGCAGGAGTCTGTTAAGTCCCCTCCGGCGCCGCAGCTGCTCAGAGCCCAGCTCAAGAAGTCGCCTGGCAAAGGAGGGACCACGCATCAGCCCCGCACACATCAAAGGGCGTGCCTTGAAGCCTGCAGCCGCGACCCCCTCCACCGGAGCCCTCCCGGCGCAAGCCACCCGCAGAGCGCCTCGTGCACTTCCGATCCCGCAGCGGAGGGACCCCCACGGACGCCCCAGGGCGCACACACGCAGGGCTCCCGCACAAGCGCCTGTGGCCTTGGTGGGGGTGGGAATGGTACCGCGCGCTTGGGGGACCTCCCCACCCCGCGCGCCTCTCCCATCACCCCTTGTCGCGTTCGGCGTCCTCGATCTCCTAGCCCCGCTCCTTACCTCCAGGATACGCGGCAGCCGAGGGAGCGTCCCTAGCAGGCAGCCGGGGCAGCTCGGGGCTGGCGTGGGCGCAGCCTTCGGTGGGCTTGGAGAGGAGCGCGTCGGGGCCGGAGAAGTCGCTCAGGTGGAGCATGGCGCGGTGGCGGCGGGGCGCCCGGGGCCTCGCTGGGCTGGGGCGCGTGCGGCTGGCAGGGAATCCGGGCGCCCCAGCTCCAGGCTCCCGGCGCTTGGCTCGGGGACGAGGCTTCGGGGGCCGCGGCTCCCTGGCTCGCCCGCACCTGCCTCGGGCGGCGGCTCCTGGCTTCTCCAAAGTGCAACCGGGCTCTCCCAACCCACAGTCCCCCCACTTATATAGCTGCGGCGGCGCTGGCTCCGGGCTTCCGACTCCCCGGGCCACTGCCATTTCGGGAGGCCCCGGCCCTGGCGCCGTGACGTAAATGACCAAACATGGACACAGGATGTGTGCCGGGGACTCCCGAAAAGGAAAGCTCGGCCTGTGACGTCGCTGCCGCCGCCGGGCTCGCGCCGCTGCGTGCGCGCGAGTCCCCAGAGCGTGGAACCTCGTGCGCGTTGGGCCACGGGTGCGCCCTGCAGGGGCCGAGCGCTGTGTGAGAGCCCAGGCTGCGCGTTGCTGTCCAGTACGTAGAATCACTGGTTCGAATCCACCGTTTCCCACTTAAAAAACGTTTGCTCCCACCTAACACCAGTTTCCTCACCTGTGAGCTTGCTAAGGAGAGACATAACCAGATAACATGAAGTTCTGGGCACAGTTAGTAACCCAGAAACGGATAAGAACACTTGAGCTGCAAACAGGACTGAGTTGTACGAGGACCTGAGTTTGAAACCACAGAAAAAGCCAGATGTGATTGCATTGGGAGTCTGAGATAAGCAGGTCCTTAGGGGTCGCCTTTATTTAGGTGTGTTTGTGTGTGTGTTTGCTCTTGTTTTAACATTTTACTCTGTGCTTTGAAAAAGTAACTGATACAAAAATTATAATGAAAAATTTGATGATGGAGGTGGGCGGGATCAACTAGTATACAAGAGGTTTGGTTTTTTTTTTTTTTTGTTTTTTTGTTTTTTTGTTTTTTTGAGAGTCTCACATGTAGCTCTGAATGACCTGGAACTCACTGTGTAGACCAGGATGGCCCTGTACTTCCAGGGATCCACCAGCCTCTGTCTCTGCCTCCTGAGTCCTGAGAGTAAAGGTGTATGTCACCATGCCAAGTTGAGAGTACATTCTGAAAATTAAAGGCTTCTCTTGCTTTCATTTTTTTTTTCTTGAGGTAGCCATGTTGACGTGTCTTGAGTAGTTTTTGGGAAAATGTTTTTGTCTATACAACATTCAAACTGTTCTGGAAATTTTTTTCACTTTAGCTGAGAGGTTGCATCATGTGTGAAGACAAAGACCTAGATTGCTATCTAAGGCTGAATAGTTATCCATGGCACAGAAAGATACTGAATTAGCCTTGGGTTGGTTCCTATCCATGAACACATGGGTAACTTGCAATTTTTTGTTTTTTGTTTTTAATGTTGATGTCATTGTCCTTAACTATATAAATGTGAACACATCTGGGATAAATTCTTATGAGTGTAAGTGTAAGCTACAGGATATTCAGTTTTTGACAGACAGCTGACAACTCGTGGCAGTCCCTTTTCTGCTACCTGCAGTGAACTTGATGCTTCTGGGATTAAAAGCCATTATATCAGTTTGAAATAGCATTTCTTACATTTTAGATTTAGTTTTATTATTGTAAATGATATGTGTGTGTGGGTGGGGTTTGTGCATGAAAGTGCAGATGCCCACAGAGCCCAGACCTGCTGGATCCCCCTGGAGCTAGAGTTATAGGTGGTTATGAGTAGCCCAGTGTGGGTACTGGGAACAGTACCTGGGTCTTATGCAAGAGCAGTGAGTTCTCTTAACTGCTGGGCTGCCTCTCCAGCCTGAAGTAGTTTGATCAAATGATTAAGTTTAACATAAAATTGAAAAGTAAAGAGCTTCAATTTCTGGGACTCTGGGTACTGGAGGGCAGGAGTAGCAGGTTTGATGTTCCCCCACTTCATTTCCATTCTCCTCAAAACGGAGATAAATTCTTTGTGGGGCTACAGAGAGGCTGTCAGTGTATCTCCGAGAATCCCCTCCCCTCATGCCTTTTCAAGAGTCTGTGCCCCTTTATCTACTGTATAAACTCAGTATGACAGAACATTCAGCACCCTCTCATTATTCATCCCCTAGGTTCCTCTCTGGGCCCAGATGGTAGATTTCAGCTGCTACTGGAGAGGTCCACTTCCATCCTTAGCCACTTCTCCACCCCACAGTGACTTCCCAAGTGTTCACAGGATAAGCTCCATCACACACTCATCTGCAGAACACATTGATACACTTTCATGCATCTTCCCAAGTCTACAGCTGGATGAGAGATTCTTTACAACCATGCACAGATGTGGTCCCATGGCGGCCACAGTTCCAATGCTGTCTTGTCAGCACACATGGTGTCCATATAAAAATACAGAAGTGGGGATGTTTATGCAGCTCAGTAGTAGGTGCTTGCTTAGCATACACATCTCTACATAAACTAGGTGTGATGCTTCATGTCTACAATCCCAGCACTGTGGAGGTAGAAGTGGGGGGTTAGAAGTTCAAGGCCAGACTTGTGCTACATAAAACCTTGTCTAAAAAGAAACCTGTTTGTAAGGAATGTACAGACATACACAGAAAATTTTCCTTCTGCTCTATTTCAGACCCAGAGCTTGACTCCAATCCAAATGCATTGCCTAGGCCGGGCGAGCCCACACCAGACAGGAAGGGCACACGTGTCTCACATATATTCTGGCATCTTGTGGCCTAAGGGGAGGGGAAGAGAGGAGCTTGGCTGGGCAGGTGTCCAGGACTCCCTGGGTGGCCCGTCGGGCCAGATTGGCCAGCCCCAGGATGCCTATTCCTTCTGCTGTTCTTCCCTCCGCCACAGCGCCCCTCCTCCCTCTTAGTCATGGATAAGTCCCTTAGTCCTGTGGTGAGGTGCCAGGACACTGCAACTCTCTGCCAAGGGCTGTTGGGCTAGATCTGTGCTGGGATAAGCATCCAAGTCACCTTAATTTGCTCTTTGCTAGAGTCAAGACCTGGGGCAGGGCTAGAAAGGAGAGATTAGGAGACTGGAAGACTGTCCTCTGAGTTAGGGCTGGCACACTCCGACTGGACATGGCGGTGGTAGTAAGGTGTGTGTGTGTGTGTGTGTGTGTGTATGTTTGTGTGCATGTGGGTGGGTGGGTACAGGTGTCCATCTCTGTGTACTTCCATCAGGAGACACATTCACAGAAAATTACTGTTCCTGGAGGTTAAAGAAGATCTATCTCTATTTGGCTCCCTGTGAACAAGGAGGGACTGAATCAGAGACATTCGAGCACTCCCCTTGCAGTGTGGCTCCCTTTTCTTCCATTTATGCATGCATGTGTGTGTACATGTTCATGTGTGCTTGCACATATGTGCTAGTTCATGTGGAGGCCAGAGGTCAGTGTCAAGTGTCTTCGATCACTCTTGTGCTAACTAATTTTCTGTCAACTTGACACAAGGTAGGGTCATCTGGGGAAAGGGAACCTCGACTGAGGAAAAAAACCACCATCCAGTTATCCTGTAGATAAGTCTTTGGGGGATTTTCTTGATTAATGACTGGTATGGAGGAGGCCCCAGCTCACTCCGGGCTCTGCTGCTCTTGGGCAAGTGGTCCTGGGTTGTATAAGAAAGCAGGCTTACCAAGCCATTGGGAAGCAATCCAGTAAACAGTGGTCCTCTGTGGCTCTGCTTTCAGTCTCCGCTTCTCGGTTCCTGCACTGAGTTCCTGTCCTGATTTCATGACGGACTACAACTGTAAGCTGAAATAAGCCCATTCTTCTCTAAGTTCCTTTTGGTCCTGGTGTTTATCACAGCAGTAGAAACCGATCTCTGCCGTATTTTGAGGCAGGATTGCTCACTGACCCCAGAGCTCATTGATTCTGAAAGACAAGCTGACTCCCAGGTTCCTAGGCCCTCATCTAGGATTAGAGGAATGTGCCACCACACCTGACTGGTTTTCATTTTGATTTGTTTTTTATTTTAACATGGGTTCTGGGAGTAAAACTCATGTCCTCATGTTTTCAGAGCAAGTACTTTACCAACTGAACTATCTCCCTCGCCTTCCCTCCAAACTTTTACCAGGGTGTAAAGACACTCTAGGTCCAAAGGGAATAAAGGTCTCTAGGAAGGGTTAGAAGATAAGGAAGCCTGGCTCTTTGAGCTCTGGTGGGTTACACCTCAGATAGAAAAACATGCATTCTCAAAAGGGAAATAATATCCACCTAGACTTTGCAAACATTGTATCATTTGTTACCTCCTTGGAGCAGGGAGCTGCAGATTCCTGTTTTCAGGGATCAAGGATGAAACACTGGAGATGTTGTGTGAATTGCCCAAGGCAACTTTTGTTCTATGGTAGGGAGCAGAGTGGTGAGTTCAGGCTAGTCTACAAGATTACTTAAAGCATTGTTTACTTTACAGAATGACTCACATAAGCATATTTGTGGTGGAAGATCTAACTTTTCAAGTAGGGAACACAACCTAGCCATCACTGAACCTCTCAGGCTCACTGTGGACAAGAAGCTGACCTGATGGTGGTGGCAGTAAGGTGTGTGTGTGTGTCCTTGAGGAGAGGAAAAGGATATTTCATATTTCGATGGTAGAGGCAAGGTGAAGTTTATTTTTAGATAATCGAACAAAATGGTGCCGAATGAATGAATGGATAGATGGACGGATGGATGGTTTCATTCACTGAACACAGCCTGATGCCAGGTGCTGTGAGGGCCCTTCAGATGGTGATGCTGCTGCAGCACCTGGCAGGGGAAGCACTGCATCCAGAGAGCAAGCTGAGCCAGGAGGGGATGGCAGGGAAGGCAGCCTACTTTCTTCTCCAGGAAGGGAAGAAACCCAGCCCCTGCCAAAGCTCTGCTAACAGGACCGCTCTTTCCCCACACCCCACCTTGATCTTTCTGCTCTAAATATCATTGTGTTCAAATAATACTGTGTGTATTTTAAAAGACTCCAAGAAGACAGCTGCCTGGGAGTATTAATCATGAAGAGACCAGTGCTCGGTCGCCATGGTGACTCCTGAGGGAGCTGAAGAGCAGTTCCCTGCTCCACTTCCCGGGGCCATGAGGATTCAGGGTCCCTGCATCCCTAGCTTGCTCCTCTCGTTCCTCTCTGGTTTGCCCCTCTTCCAACCTTCCTTCTTTCCTTCCCTCTTTGTCCCCTCCCCTTTTCCAATTCCTGGAGAATTTACTTAAAAACAGAAGCAG